GCAGATCCCGCCTCTCAAGGCAAAACAAACTGGCTGTTTACAAACAGATCATAGCCCCCGCGATCTTCTATGCCGCCCCGGTGTGGGAATCGTGCGCTCAGACCCACAGGAACAAAATCCAGGTTGCACAGAATAGAGTGTTGAGGATGATCCTAGATCGTCCATTCGACACAAGAATAGCAGACCTCCATCAAGAGGCAGAAATTCCCAAAGTAGATTCCAAAATTGATGATATGACAACTAAATTTATTCAAAAATGCAATCTTTCTGAACATGCTTTAATAAGCAATTTGTACATAGTAGGTTAAGTGTATATAGTAGAGTAGGTTAGTTTTAAGCTGTAAATAGTAGTATTAAGTAGTTTCTCTTCAAATTCTAAAAACAAAACAAACCAATCCCACCAAGGTGGTCGACCGTGTACTAAGTCTAGGACTAATTCTGTAAAACAAATTTTGAATTTTGCCCATACCTAAAGATGAAGAAAGCAATTAAATCACTTAGTAAAAATTTATATGGTAATCGTCCAAGTTAAACTAAAATAAAGATCATTTAAACTAACTAAAAACTAGAAATAGCACTCATTAGTGATGCATTACCAGGTTTAGAAACAACGTTTCCAGCGAAAAGAAACACACACACTTTACAATCAAAACAAATCCCCAAAAAAGACTGGGCCTCTGTTAATTTCTCCTACGGATCCGTATTTCAGCAAAACTCAATCAATTCTATAGATCTGCTGAAAATTTCGTCGAACCGACATCACTGATTTCCATCTGCTTTGCTTTTATTCAACACAGCTGACGCGTTGACAGAAAGAGGGAAAAGCAACTAGTGAAAAATTGCATGAACGAGGGATGCTCCTGTTGCAAAACAATGCTTCGGAATGTGCATGATAGAGGGTGCTAGTGTGCATGTAAAATACGCTTGACGATATTTTTAAGATCTTTTTTTTCTAAGAGTTATGTCTGTTATGTAATTTAACCAATTTTGTAGCGCACGGTTGTGCGTCTTGTTCTCGGTAGGTCTTTGTTGCGACACATGACGGAGGCTAGCAACCTCGGTTAGGTTACGACAGCAGCTAGCTCATTAGCGCTAGTGAAGTAGCATAAGTGTAAACACTCCATATATGAGCAAGTCAAAACCGTACTCTTTTACCAGTGGATTTGAGAGAAAAAAAAACCTCAATGCCCCTCATCAATTAATGTATGAGCTAGGTAAAGGAGTGTGCGTTTGACTAATACTGTCGCATTAATGACTCTTCGCTCAATTTCAACTTCTATTCAATGTTTACACTGCCATACTCTAGTGGAACTGTCAACCAATCCTCTTCAGCACTTCTTCTAGCTAATATATTAGCGTATTTTCAATCAACTCTAACCTCAAGTTCAAAAGGGACGCAAACTATTTCATTTATATAAATGACCGTCTTGATGGAGCCTGTGATGGCGTTGCCATCATTGGTCATAGATGTATCAAACATCAAATTCTTTCATCATTTGAAACCAAAGTTTTTGAAACCATTGGACAGTTTACCTTTATTGCTGCCTATTTGCCATTCCAATGCGTAGGCCAGCATCATAATTTGCTCAAGGGTGACCTAGAGAAACACACAGTTGTAAATTAACACCACTCATTGAATAATGCTCAAAGCAATTCAAATGGTTATAGGGTTAACTACCCCATTTCCGGCCTATTAAGCACAACCCGCACTTAGTCTTTCTTAATCTAGCGCAGTAGTTTAGCACCATAACTAAAGGCTTCCAAATTTATTTACCTTTCCGTATGTACCGTAAGATTTGATAAAGAGCAACCAATCGTTGAGATATTGTCAAAAGTCTAACACTGTTTATTGACGCCAAACTCGGCCTAAATTCGGCCTAACGCATTGAAACGTCATTGAAACGCAAATGAATTCTCTTCGGCCTATCGGATGAAGATAAAAATGGATTCGGTCGGAACGCTTCTTTTATTTTTGGGAATAATGGGTGTAAACCTTCATATCACGCGTTCTCATTGACTTCGGCCCTTATTACGGGTATCACTTCACGGTGAAAACGAAGTGAAGTGACCAGTTGTCACTCACGGTGAAGTGATTGCCGTGTAAATCAAATGGGAATCACTTCACCGTGAGTGACAAGTTGTCACTTCACCGTGAAGTGACATCGGTAATAAGGGCCTTCGTTCCGTAGTTTATTAACTAAAGTATCGTACCAAACGCATAATTGGCTTGTTAACTCTGAAATCATGGATTTATTTGAAGTTTTCTGCTCTATAGGCCCAAAATGGGCGATTAGGCCGAAGTAGTTCTCTACCCTATTCTGTTTAATGATTGTTCTGCAGGTTATTAGAAATCCTTCAGTTATTAATTGCTCTTAACTCATTCATGTCAACTTTGTAGTCAATTGGTTACTCATGTTGACATCGGTTCGGATCACCCTGCAGTAGCTTTTGAAATATGCCAAGAAATAATTTCTAATCCCAACAGCTCTGCTTTCAATTACCATAGAGCTGATTAGGAGAAATATCCAACATTTATGGAATATAGCTTTGATCTAAATAGTCCTTAGCAAATATGATTTCCCTTTTTCTGAGTACCGGTATTTTGGTACCGAGAGATTCAGTACCGGTACCAGGTGATTTTCAGGAAATAAATGGAAATTGGAAGACAAAAATAAGAAAAACTTTTCTTAAGGAGCCTATATTCTCATCATCCGTAAGCATATCAAATTGATTGCTCAATTTAATTTCATCAAAAGGGGGATCAAGCGATTGCCCTTTTCTTTTGCGCTTAGGTGCCATGGTGGCAGAAGAAAGTTCCAAACAGATTATTATAAGAATCCGAAGGATCGAAGAGGAATTTTCCAAATCAATATCCAAGCAGGATTACCTCGGGTAGGGTTCAAACAAGGATCGACACTTCCTTCAGCAAAAAGCAAATAGATCCGCATGGCAAGAGAGCACGATGCGGACTGAACAGCACGAGATGATTTTCTAGTGTAAGTGTATTGGAAAAAACTTACTCAGGAGGTCAGGAAAGATCCTTTGCGGAAATCAATGCCAAGTTTGTAAACTGCTGTAAAAAATAAATATCCAATTTATAATAGGTTGTTATACAAATGCCCATCACACAATATGGGTAGTACTGATATTTACAAAAGAGGTGAGGATCTCCTGAACGACACATCGTCAAGCGATATTGACATATGTAATAGATGAAATTCTCCAAGATTTACCAATGTTATTCGACAAGAGGTTCTCGATCTCACGATCTGCAGTGACCTTTTAACAGAAAAGATTGTGGACGGGCATGTTTATGATGAAGAATCGTTGTCAGACCACAAACATATAATGGTTTGATTATAAATCCGGACCAGTAATTTCAGAAAACTATAGAAACCCAAGAAAAACTAATTGGGGCCTCTGTCGTTTCTATTTACTGAAAAACAATTCGATTAATGACGAACAGATTAGGTCGCGCATGCAACTAGAAAGTGTGTCTGATGCGGTCATCAATAAAATGATCTCATCATATCATGCTAGCTACCCTATCCAACATAGATCATCCAGTAGGGATGTTCTTTGGTGGAACGATAAGCTGGCAAAATTGAGGAAGATATCCAGACGGCTGTTCAATAGAGGAAAGGCTACTTCAGATTAGGACCAATACAAAAAGGCTCTACCTTTTTTTTATTATTTTATTATAGTCACTTTAACACTCTTGGGTCATTCGTGACTTGTCCGGGGGTGAGATCTGAACTCGTGACTTTGGCGTGACAGGTATAGATGTTAACCACTACGCCGGGGTCGCCCATAATGACGATGCTCACAGATCGAGAAATATCTGCTGATCTTGGAGGTACGCAACTAACTATAAGATCGATGAAGGGTTTTCCTCAAGGAGGGGTACTATCACCCTTATTGTGGTCTTAGTAGTGGACGAACTCCTTAAAAGTTTAACGGAGCAGGGAGATGTGCCTGATTGGGACAACTTGCAATGTCAACAAATGTCTATCACACCTTAATTGTGAGAGGATATGTGACTAGCACCAAAATAAAAAATGGGTCAGACAACAATATTCTTAAGTAATGGACGCAGTTGTAAAAAGGCTCTACAGATAAGAGGAAAAAATGCAAACCAAAAAGGCTCATCAAGGAAGTGAAAAGAATCTTCCGGGTATGTCAAAAACCTCCCTGCGGATGCAAAAAAAAGCTACAGTGAGAGCCATAATGGCTTCAAGAATAAGCTTCCAATGCATCAGATGATAATTTCTAGGAAAGTTGCAAGAGTCTTATGGGGGAATTCGAAATTATCTACTGGCTCAAATGAACCTACCGTTGAGAAAATTTCGGAAGAAATCGGAAGAAAAATCTGGAGCAGTTAAAAAAATTCCAATGGAAGCAAAAGTATTTAAATTTAGTGGTTAAACTACTCTTCACTTTATAAATCATTCAACAAAAGTTGAAACAATCTGATGAATGGCTGCTATGAATTCAACCTTTCTGCATTTTGAACAAAAATGTTTTCCGATTCCTAGGAATTCCCGGGAGGAGCTATCAGCTGTTTACCGTCTGTCGGGAAGTCAAAATTAGTCAGGAAATGGAAACACTAATTCAATCACGCAAAGTAATAACACCATCGCACAGACGAGACAATTCCGCATGAATTGGTAATGCTAATTTAAATGAATAAGTTGTTATTTATGAGAAAGCTACGGAGGAAGTCAAAAGACAGTTACGGTAGTTAGTGTACCTGTAATATATTGCTTCACTCGTCGTATGAAATTAAAATCCTGTGTCATAACATTATCAGGTGCTTCAACTGAAGAAAAAAATCCCTTTGATTCTTCAACCCTTCATAGTATATATTAATTACAGAACTATAAAACACGTTAACTTAGACCTGCAATCCCACCAACAGTGACGGCTATTAGACCTCAGCTATTATCACGTACGCTTCCCATTTAGAGTTAAATCTAATCTCATTTCTCTTAATTTCACAGTTCTGGGCTGCTTACGTGCCGTGCGAGGCCCAACACAAGGACGCTGTGCAGATCACGCTGGAGCAAATTGATGTAATTAAAAGACTGACGGAACGCTATTCACCAGGGCTCACAGCATGTGCATCAGTTTACGGTACGGTAGTTGTATTACAATTTACAGTGTGAAAGCACGGATATTTCGTCTCATACATAAATCATGATAAGTACCGGCAATTGCTTGGTGTATGTGTGCTTGGTGTTCCCAAAATTCTGGACGATATGTGAATAGAGCCACTAATTTCGCGCAGTGTAGTCTAATTATTCCCCACGCGGAGCGAACAGAAGGCTTGTACCTAGTCGTTCTAAAACCATTCAGCTCGTTTGGGATTATTGCAGCCATGGCAAACTCCGTCGATGATGACGATGACGATGAAAGCAAACATTTTTCTGAATTAATCATTTTGTTCGACCATTTTCCACAGAGATGGCGCTGTTCCGCTGGTAGGAAGTGATAAAAATCCCCATATTGAAATTGAGAGAAGTGGGAATAATTCGCTTTCGGTGCATATTCAGGACTAAAAAAGTGAACGACAACCTAAAGAAATTAATCAGGGACTTAGTCGTTCAGTTTTTTCCCGAAAATTATTGTTTAACAAGCTACAATTAAATAAAAATTGTTTTTCCCCATACATTTTTACCTGCTTTACTACCAGTCCCCAGAGAGCAAAAAAAAATCAAATTTGAGAGAGAAATTCTCTCTCACGAGCTAAATCTCTCAACATGCCATGTATTTTGTTGACACTCGATTTGTGATTTCCCTTTCACAGATTACAAAATAGAGTACCTGACACTACGAAACATGTCTGGTACCTCTATAAATGCATTTGCTTTATCATTTGAAGTCCCTCCTTTTTTACATATTCTGCGCAAAAGATACTTTACGCCCCGCCCCATACATACAATTCGGCGGGAAATTCTGTGAGGGGTGAGCTATTTTGTGTGCAGGATGTGTAAAAAAGGAGGGACTTCGAATAATAATCTAAATGCATATATAGAGGTACCAGACATGTTTTGCACTGCAGTGTCCTCTGTGAACAATTATAGGAAAACAGATTGTGTCTAGTTTCCGATAGATGTCACCGCAAACGACAGCTGTGACATCTGATGGAACATGAATGCAGAAGCTTGACAAAATGATTAATTCAACCACAGCTGCCATGATTATGCAACCCCTAGGCAACGTCATCCGCTTACACATTTTTAGAACCAATGCTTCCCAACGTAAATCTGTTATCTTTTCACGGACTCTAATTATCTCTTTTCTATACCTAACATGACATTTCCACCATTCTCCACCTTCCTATTTCTATCGCAGATATCGTTCAAGCGCACAAAAACCATCAAATGTGTTCACTAATTGGAGTCGAGGGAGGGCACTCACTGGGCGGATCGTTGGGTGTGCTTCGGATTTATTATGCACTCGGCGTTCGTTATATGACCCTGACGTCCACCTGTCACACCCCGTGGGCGGACTCGAGCAACGCCGATGCCCCCAAGTACGACATCAAGCACGGAGGACTGACGGCGTACGGAAAGGTGAGTTAAGTACATGGACGTCGTACACAGTTTCATTTTACGGGTCGAGCACAAAAGAAACCATCACGGTGGATCTACTACTCAAGCTTCAATGGGTGCATCATTTGGTACAGAGCTGCTGCAAATTAATATGTGTTGCACGTACTAATTTATCTTTTCCTACAGGATGGTTTTAACTAGAGAGGAAGGAGCTAAAATGCAACTCGTTTGAAATAATTGTGTATGATTGGAAAAACAAGTACCTATATGCGGCATTTAATCATAATTTGGCTTTAAAGTCTGGTCCACTTAGAAAACGGACGCATAAAACCAGGTGTTTCTCGGGATTGATTTGACGTAAGAAAAATGTAATTTAGTCAAAATGAAGGTATTTTATTTGACTTTCATAAAAAAAAAATGCAAAATTATTCCGACGGCGTTCGGATGAACTGGCGGACTTTCTTTACAATTCCCCTAATCTGCCGCACACTGGACTGGTCAAGCTCAGTGGCCTTTTTTTCAACATAGAGCCATCTGTGCAGCGCCCTTAGTCGTCTTTCCAGTTTTCTCAAGGGGATGGTCACTCCGCATAGTGTGCCAAAAATAAGCTTGGGCACACCTGGGCATAGTCGTTGGCACTGTTTTGTGCCACCTGGACTTAGTTCCTGTGAGTCTGTGCATTTGACTCCCACACTGGAGCAGCGTAGTTAATTGCATGCGCAATGATTTGTTTGTAGACGGCCAGTTTTTTTTCACCAACGAGAGACGAGATCTGCGACAAATGAGCGGATACAGACACCTAACTAAGCTTGAACACTTAACTACCGTCTTTTCTATGTGTGAGCGGAATAGGAGCTTTTCAACAAACAACATCCCGAGATAAGTTAGCGGCGCCGGTAGTGTAGTGGTAAGCGTGATTGCCTCTCACCCCAGTAGGCCTGGGTTCAATCCCAGTCGGCGCCGGCAAGATTTTCTGAGGCATAAAATCTCTGATCACGCCTTCCTTCGGAAGAGAAGTAAAGCCCTTTGGTCCCAAGTCCATGAGTTGATGGGTCTATAGGTAGGGTCTAGCTGTGGGAGCTGCCTCCCTGGCGTCAGTAGCATTGGTGCTCAGCACGGAAAACAAGATCGACGGAAAACAAATCAAGGGAAAAAAATGCTGAGATAAGTTACTTCTGTTGACCACTCGACCCTTGAGCCGTCCATGACTACTGTGCAGGAGGGAGCTGGTTTTAGATTGGGGGATTGCCTGTGCAGGAGCACAATTGCCCGGGTTTTCGCGGCATTGATTTTGATTTTCCACGATTGCGCGTAGTCAGCAAAGGTGTCAAGGCATCGTTGAAGTTTGTTGGTGATTTCGCAAGGCAATCTACCTTTTACGGAAATTGCAGTATCATCTGCGAACAGGAAGAACACGCACCCGTTACCGAGCTCGGGTATATCGGAAGTGTATAAGCTGCAAAGCAAGGGGCTGGAGAACGTGTCGCATAGACAACCATTTAACGATACCTTGAACGACCTTTGCAGAATGTAGTTACGGGTGATTTTTATCAGATGTATAAAGGAAAGCTGAAGTTGCAAAGCTTGAGTAACAAGGCCATGGCTGTGGACTTGGATACAGCCATGTTACTGCGGATGTTGTTCATCACCCGTACTAGCTGGTGCTTTGTGGAATGCCGCTTTCTGAAACCGAACTGTTCCGGTAGGAGAATATTGCTTTCCTCGACAGTCTTGACCAAACGGTTGAGGATGAGTTTCTCGAACAATTTGCTCAGCGCTGTAAGGAGGCTGATCGGTCTGTAGCTTGGCTGCAATGTTGGATCTTTACCCGGTTTGTGAATTAGTATAATGTTCGCCATCTTCCAGATGCTTGTAAAAGCTTGTACACTTTCGTGCTAAGTCCCTTTAGAATTAGGTTGAAAATGCCGTCAAAACCGGGGTTCTTCATATTCTTAGAATATTTCAGCGCTGAGCAAATCTGTTCTACCGTGATTTTATCCTCCGGGGAGATGACACAAGGGGAAGCATCTAAATTGATTTTCGAGCGGACTTAGGATACTGAAGCCAAGCAAGTGCGATGCAGCAATATGAACACCAATCGCATTTGCTTTCTCCTTCGGTGTTATGAGCCGAGCGTCATCATTTTCGAGTCTTAGAGGTGGAACAGGTTTGGGATGAGACTTCAAAACCGTGAACGGTCATTCAGATTTTGGAAAACTTTCGTTTCGGAGTGAGTCCATTCTGGAAGCAATCTGCCTGTTCAAATCGGCCGTTTCACGTTTTTTTGTCCAGATCTCCAGTCATATGAAACTGGCGTCTACGAATATTTCTCAGGCGAATCATCATTTGGGTGTGGAACTTGACCGACACATGTCTCGTCAGCCATGGATATGGCCTGATGAAGGACTTCCAGCTCACGGTTAATTCCCGACTGTAGTGTACAGTTTTTGCAATTTTTATGCTCTGAGAAATGGGAAGTTTGTTACTATGGAAAGAAATTTACTACGCGGTATAAAATATAATATAACCATGCTAACATGATTTCCATACAGCCTATCAACGGGTGTTTGCTTTAAGCACAACTCCTAAGCAGACGGTCATGGACGGACAAGTTCACCACCATTTGAAATCTCTTTTAATGTAGTTTTATGTGCATTTGACCTAGTCTGCACCTATCTGCATCAATAAAAGATACATAAGTGCAAAATATGGGGCCTCCCTTAGCTCAGTCGGTAAAGGCGCAGCTACAAAGCAAGACCATGCTGGAGGTGGCTGGGTTCAATTCCCGGTCTGGTCTAGGAATTTTTCGGGTTGGAAAATTTCTCGACTTCTCTGGGCATAGAAGTATGATTGGACTTGCCACACAATTATACCAATGCAAAAAATGGTACAGGCATCGAAAGCTCTCAATTAATAATTGTGGACGTGCATCAAGAACACTAAGTTGAGAGCACGCAATAAGCTAATATGCGATATGCAATAAGCTTGAAATGCGAAGAAGAAGAAGAAGAAGAAGAAGAAGAAGAAGAAGAAGAAGTGCAAAATATGAAGAAAATTGACTAAAATTTATCAATAACTCATCGTATTCATATGATATATTCTAGAAAGTTGTGTATTTTAGTTTGACAAACAACTTTGTAGAACATAGTAAAGACCCTAAAAGTAAACATGTGTTTTGGTAAAAAAAAGTGTTTTTGGGCGACCATCCTCAAACAACCCTAACTATTTCGATTTTGGCAAAATATAAGACTTTTATGTCTTGAGCAAAGTTGTTTGTAAATTTTTTTTGATATAACTTTGCTGAATACGTTAACCCTCTATCTCGACATTATGAAAAAAATTAACATCTCACTTTTAGGGGGATTAATCACAAAACTTATATCTTCCAAAGATGCAGCATGTCATATTCATCAACTTTGCTGAAAGCGTCATTACTCTAAATTCACTCCCCGTTCACTCTCTGTCTCATTTTTGAGACAATTAATTCTAGGGTGGTTCCTATTATCTTTGAAACCAAAAATTTAACTATTTTGTTTAGAGAAATTAATATAAGTTAAACACGAAGGCTTGTCAGAGAAGTTTTTAAAACTAAACTATTCAAAGTCACTGCCAGTAAAAGACTAACTTTATTCCGTATTCACCGCCGGATGCTGTTATGCTTAGTTGCACTGTTGTTTGCTGAGTATTGTTTATGATCTGTTACTACGTTGTCATGTTTATGTTGACTGCGAGTGTGGGTTGTTTACAAAGAGTATCGGTGGTAAAGGCTTGTGTGTAACTTATATACATTTTTACAAACAATTTGAGTTGATCAACAGCTGAATAAGCAATTTTTTAGCTGAAGAAGCTCGGCAAAAGGCTGAATAAGCTCTTACTCAACATTCAATGTTTGTTGAGAATTTACTCATATTATTTGCTATAATTGGCGATATCTCTTTAATTTGAAAAGATACAGACAACATCTTTTAAAACATCCGTCTTATAGAGTCTTTAAAAGTATCCAGAAGATAACTTTCTTGAGAAATTTTAAATAATAAAGTTTGTGCTAAAAACAATTTTTTTTTTTCATGAACACCCTATGTCTACTCCGAAAGTTTACTTTAAAACGAGAACGTTAAGAAATAGAATAAAATTGTCTTGGACAAAGTTGCTTGAATTTAACTCAGCTACAACTTTTTCAAACAAAACATGTATGTATTTTGTAAAACAAAAAAATTAGTTTTTAAAATTTCTCTAATTTGAGGACAACCCTGACGTTTGCAAAAACCAAAAGAAGGTAATTTTTAAGCACAAAAATTTCTCATGAAACTGAAAAACTTTTTAAGGCGGATGTTTTATAGCAAAAGTTGTTGTCTGTATCTCTTCTAATAAAAAAGATATCGCCAATTATAGTAAAAAATATTAATAAATTCAAATTGATTTTATACTATTTTAAATTTAACGTTGAAAAAATGATGTAATGTCGGCCCAAATACATAAATACATAAATCCAGTAATCGACTAAATTTTCAATAGCGACCAAAATATCCATTAGTACCGTCCCAATAAAGCGTTCATCTAGATAAAATTGATAAATAGCAGACTCAATTTAGAAAAAAAAAACCCTAAATTGGTCAATTCATGAGATACAAAAAAGCAAAGCTGCTTGAAATTAGACCAGCTTTTTGCCGAAGAATGTATACCTTAATTTCTTCAAACAAAAAAGTTAGATTTTTGATTTCAATGATAATAAGAACCACCCTAGAATTCTTTGCCATAAAAATATGGGCCTAACTATAAGAAACAACTTTGTGGAATACATTTTTTGTCTAAAATTTCAATTTCAGGTTCAAAACATATCCTTCCAGCTAAATCTGCATTCTGGACACTGTGCACTGTGCACTTCACATAGGAATATTACGCACTTCACATAGGAATATTAGTGGTTGAACAAATGGTTTGATGTTTGTATGGAAATTATGGCAAATTACTATGGATTTTATTTTTAATTTCACTGCTCTCGCTCTATCATTGAATCAAGTTGTCAAAACTGAATATGATAATCTGACAGGCTTGATGGTGAAATTAATGATGTTGTCATGCACATATTCAACTAGGGGAAATGACGGCTTCGGCATGACAGACTATTTTCGGCAACCCAAATTGAAATACTATTTTCACTTGATTTTCTTACAAAAACACTTCGCTGAATGCATGCAAACGATTCTTTATGCTTTCAGCTTCAATTTGACTATATTTTTACCACTGAGAAAAAGCAATCTAGCAAAGTTTTCTTGAAATGCAACACACGCACTACAAATTGTAGCTGATTTCGAGTTGCCGATAATAGAACAGTAGATTTACATGCAGTTCAAATGGAACGGTTGCCGAAGAAAAACTGGTTGCCGACAATACTCGCTCTCACTAGAGAGGATTGGAGCTTTGTAAAAGCGTTTCAAAACAGTTTTTGACAATTCTTTCGACTGAAATTGTTAGAGCAGCTGGCAACAAAAGATTGTAAACAAACCAATACTGTATATGTGTGCGTTCCTTAGAGAAAAAGGCTATAGAAAGAAGGTCGCTGCTTAGGTTGCCGAGAATACGTAAATTCCCCTATCAATTTACCATATTTTGTATTTTTTCACATTTGCATCTTTCTTAAATTGCTGCCAAACTGACCGTAACAACAACAGGTTTACTTTCCATTGTCTTCTTCTTCTTCTTCTTCTTCTTCTTCTTATTCTTCTTCTTCTTTTTCTTCACATTTCAAGTTTATTGCTTATCGCATATTAGCTTATTGCGTGCTCTCAATCATACAATCATACTCTATCTCTATGCCCAGGGAAGTCGAGAAATTATCCAACCCTAAAAATTCCTAGACCGAACCCATCCACCTCCAGCATGGTCTTGCTCTGTAGCTGCGCCTTTACCGACTGAGCTAAGGGAGGCCCCTTTCCATTGTTATGGCAACCACATATTTAAACTTTACAGTGTTTGGAAAACTTAATCCAAAGGTATAGCAATATTTGTAAAAATTTTAACTTCTCCCATACAAACTTCAAACAATTTGTGCGACCTGTAAACCATCATCAATCTTTATCATTTTACTCACAGACTAATAATTTGGTTTTCTGAATCAAACTGGAGCGTAGTCTATAATGGACAGATCTTCTACGATTTGTATTTGCTCATGAAATACATTCACCACATTACAGCCAATAGTAAGATAACTCTTCAAAGTTGTCAGATCCATGCCAGTGATGCAATGTGCAAACCATCAGAACATGTCAATTTACAACCTATCTCACCGTCCATAGTAGCTCTCAGAAGCAACAGCAATGGTCAACAGTAGGTAATTCCTGGTAGTTATCTAGCAGATATGAACCACAACCGCTCCAGGGAAGCACCGTTGAATAATGGATTCCATCGCAGATGCATTACAAGATTGAAAGCTGGCTCGGGGTGTATTCCTCCTCCAACATACGGACGCCATATATTTCGACAAAGCAAACGCCAGTCGGTGGTCCGTTGTTGAGCCCGTGTGGTCCATTGTTCACCCAATCGTATCATTTTTTTGTATGTATTTGAAATGTACAGGTAGTGGAATGAAATACATCACAACCTTCGTGTGTATCTACAATCGGGATGAGAGTGCTTACATACCAGGGGACGCATTGCTGTCCAAGTGAACATTTCGCATAGTTGTCATAGAAGGGGGGGATCACTGTTTTAAACTTCGACGGTGCAAGTAGTAGCCATTTAACTGGTACGGATGAATTAGTGGTGATAGAACTTTTTCAATGCTATTACACATACATATGCGAAGTCAATGAAAATTAGATGTTTCATAATTTATCTGCGAAATCATGGGCCTTGAACTGGTAGGTGGATTGGTCCTTTATGTCACACGATGGACCTCCCTCGTACTGCAGTATGAGATTATATTTTTGGATCTTCAACCTTTCGAACGTGTCACACGAACTTGTGTGCACGTGGGTATGAGTGGATGTAATGGAATAAATTCAATATAAATTGACACTCAACCGGTCTCCAGGATCGCAGTTGGGAGCACCGACTGGCAGAAATGCTGCAACCCGGTTAGAAACATCCGTTGACACGTGGAAAAAAAAAGATGGAGAAGCGAAATAGCGGTACACAAAAAAAAAACGATTTTTATCTCACACAGCGGGCGCGGTTCGTTGTGGCATCAAAAACATGTTGGACATTTTGCTGTGTCAGACCAGAACTCGTGCTCCATCTCGTATGGGATCGTTAGCTGCTGCTGCCGATCAACCAAACGAGGCTTGTTTTTCATCAACTCAAATTCGTGTTCAAGCTCGGCGGTGTAAAAAGAGCAAAAGCTTCAATCTAGCGAATGTCATGTCATCGTGTTTCTATGAATGTGTAATGTAAATGGTGGTGCTGTGGGCCGCGGATCCGCCATCATCCTTGTCCGTGTAGTAGGTTTGCGGCTGAGATAAGCTTTTGTAACGAAGAAGGTAAATTAGTTGCTTTGATGCGATTTTTTTTTTGAGCTGCGAGGTACAAGTCTAATTTAAATGTGTTAAGTCGACTGAAATGGGAATTTTCATAGCCATGTCTGTGAGGTATAGTACATACTGCTCTAAATGAATACCACGCTGGAAACACATGGTTCGATGAGCTCAACCATGGTTGCTCTCGGAAAGAAGCCCAATGTGTCCAATGCACAGTGGTCCAGAATGCAGATATAGGTGGAAGGATATGTTTTGAGCCTGAAATTGAAACTTTAGACAAAAAGTATCTTCTACAAAGTTGTTCCTTATAGTTAGGCCCTCATTTTTATGACAATGAATTCTAGGGTGGTTCTTATTATCATTAATTTAAAAAATCTTTTTTGTTTGAAGAAATTAAGGTATACATTCTTGGACAAAGTTATAGTTGAGCTAATTTCAAGCAACTTTGTGAAAATTATTGTATCTCTTAAATTGACCGATTAAGAGCTATTTTCTTGAATTGAGTAAGGGTGTCTCTAAAAATACAGTTTTCTTATTTCAAATTTCTCAGCAAAGATGTTTACAAATAACTTTTAGATCTTAAGAAGGCGCAATTGTTTGCAGCACAGAGCTTGTTGATATTTTTCGCCGATCAAGAGTTATTGACGTTTTTCTACTAAAAATGTGCCCTTTTCAAATGTTGATATTCCACCTAAATCTGCATTCAGAACCACTGTGCAATGTGGTCAAATACCCGATGATAGGTTTTGGCTCAAGTCAAATTCTGACTTCTTTCCCGGAGGCATCATTGTGCTCCTGGACACCATATTTATTGTCAATGATCTTATTCAATTCTCAAGATGGGATTTTCTCTAGACAAACTTTGAACACTTCACCGGGAGCCACCGGATCACGTCCAGCAGGTTATGAGCATTCAATCTGATCGCCATTGATTTAAATAAATATATGTTTGTTTCAAGTGTTCCTCTAATGTGATGCGTTACATGATGGGTTAGAGAAGGTGTATGAATTATGGCCTATGCAGCTTCATATGGATTAGTGTCATAACTGGTACCATTGCTTATATGGGATACTTCCATAACTAGTACATCTACCCTGCTTTAACTTTATATTATCTGTTGCAAAATTCAAACATTCATAAATGAAAACACCCAGTTTCCAATCTAATAACTTAAATCGCTTTATTGACGAAATCAATACGAAAGTAATTCTCATTCCAAGCCTTTACCAAACTATGTTTAATACCGTGATTCATCGCTATGGAAATGTAACCCACAATTTCCAATGCAAATTCTTTGCTGAAAAGGGCAATGTTGCTTCTCCAACTGTCAGTGGAGAAAAGATAGATCCCTCCTTCATCCCCTCGAGGGATGCATTCCTATACTTCTATCCAGGGTAGTTGTTCCAGATATGGCTATACGTTCCAATTATGGCCTATGGAACGCCGTAGCTGGTACACCTACCCCAGTTCCGAACACACAATCGCTCTCTACATAAACAGAAACTTTTCATTTGCAAGCGAAATATTTCAACCGAACTTGATTCATTTTTCCTGGAACATACGTCGACGCAGTTTGCGTGTGTTTTGATTCCCATAGGCCGTTGCTCATGCTACACTTTATATCTACTGCAGTCGGTGATGATGCTCTCAATCCACCTCACACATTCATACCCATGTTCTCATATCGTATAATGTTTGTTCCCATCTCTTCCATTTCTTTCCAACCACGCCGCGGTGCCGACCAGACCATCATCCGGGAGATGAATCGCCTGGGCATGATAGTGGATCTATCGAAATCGTCGGTCGCAACCATGAAGGACGTGCTGGCCACCTCGCAAGCGCCGGTCATATTTTCCCATTCGTCGGCCTACGCCCTCTGCAACTCGAGCCGGAATGTGCAGGACGAGGTGCTGCAGCTGGTGACGAAGAACCGCGGTCTGGTGATGGTCAACTTTTACAATAAATTTCTCAGCTGCACCGAAAACGCCACCGTGGAGGATGCTGTCGGTGAGTTCCGCTTTTTTCCCTGTTTTGTGTGGTTATATTGAGTTTGTTTTGCAGGATGCGTGTGTGACGGAAGTAGCTGGTGGGTAAAGGGGTTAGGAATCAAGAATGATATGAATAAACTACCGAGTGTGGTGTATGGTTTTATGCTTACCACGTATTGTCAATATGGCTAGCGAGCATCACACCGCTGGAACAACTATAGTTGCATATGTAGATAACGAGTGGCATCCATTTTTATTTATAGAAAACCGCAATCGTTATGCATAGATAGGTGTGCATACTGAGCACGTTTTCTGTAAGATGGATGTCAATATTGGCTGCGTTGGCTGCCAGCATAGTGTGACCACTGTTTGAATGATGATTGACAGTATGGAACGTGTTGCAAAATTGATAGTGCTCTTCTTAAATCATCCAGATTTAATCGAAATGTCGTACATTCTACTCCTAAAAGAATACGATAGAATACGAATTAAGTATAAAAAAAAAGGTTTATACGTGAAAAACCATAAAACAGACATATACCTAAAGTACATACATATGATTTGTACGGAGAAATGCTTTTCTTCTTAATTCATTTTCTGGTTTGAATTTACTGTTTACAAATTAGAATAAAAGCGTTTGATCAAGAGTAATTTATTCCTAGCAACATAATTAATACTTTTAACAATAGTTTTAACAAAATGACAAATTCAACATTTATGTACCACAAAAACTATGCAACCTAAAAACTAGCACTACAAGATGAAGAAAGATCAACTACCGAACAGCAGAAGCATGGCGAGGTTTTCGACGAAGAACTCTGACCTATGACTAGACCAATCTGGGTGCAAACAATCGAATCTTGTAACGATCATTGGTTGCCGCGGAATTCATCCGGGATTTGGGGTGTGGAAGGTTGAGGTTCATGAGCCAAACTTTGGGCGAGAAGAGGGAATTTTGAGATAGGGTTCTTATAGAAAGGGACTGGAAACTTACGTCCACATAGTTCCTCCTGGGGCAGATCCTATTGCAGTTAAGATACCATTTGTAGTTTTTTTTTCTGATAACCCTCACAAAACGATAATGTAGGGTATACGTCCCTAACCTCGGTCTAATATGCAGCCATAGATTACGTTTTTAATCATAACTCATCAATTAATTTACCTGCAAACGATATTCTACTGCTAAATGGTATGCTTAGATATGCTTATCATGTCGTTTGCTATCAGGAACCGCAAAAAGTTGAAAAACTTACTTTTTTTAAGACAAAAACTCACCAGGGAAATGTATGTAATATCGGTCTATTGTCCCCAAATTGGGTCTATTTATGGATGCAACTTCGTCCTATCCTGTTTGATTCTCAAAAAAAACGCTCTTGGTAACGTTTTCTTATGTATTTTTTTTTATCACTATCACTGTTAACTTAATACTCTTCATTCCTCAAAACATTTCTTAGAGAAAATTTTACGAAAACTACATTAAATCACTCAAGTTAAAAATTAAAAATTAAAAATTTCGCTTATCGTCTTTCGACCGCAGAATATCTAAATCAAAACATTGTGATGTTCATTATACAGATTTGGCAGAAAAAATCTCCCTTCCTGTTCGTTCCTTATCATCCAAATGCAAACCACATTGTTGACGTTACTCTTATTGCTATATGCTGTCAAATGAATTTCATGGGCCAAAGTTAGGAACATAGAAAAGAAATGTGTCCCTAAAGTTGGGTCCATGATTTACTTGTGAAAACGTTGTTAAACAATTAAAATAAACATAAAATATTCAAACAGTAACTGTGAGTTTTACGTCTAGTGTGTATTATCAGGTAATTCCATTCAATAAATGCCATAATCAGGCCATTTGATGATCGTCAGTGCAACCTTCCCATCTTAACCTTAGAAGTCATGGCGGCTAACTTACGAGAGCTGAAAATGTATTGAAATGTTGTGATATAAATTGATTTGTGTGTGGTACACATTTATCAATCATCAGTGATCAATATTTTCCTTATTTTTTGTGTAATATTCCTTAATTAATTATTTATTTGCGTGATAGGCCGAATGAAAGGACTAGACCCACATTACATACCGTAACCCTATCAATTGAAGTCAATCAGCTTGAACTCCTATATATACAAAAGTAGCACCACTTTTGGGACACGGGGAACGTGTTCTTGCAGTACCGGATCAATCTGCAGTTGGAGCAGTAGATTTTGCTAGCGTATGAAATCTGACAGCAGCACACACGTAGAGATTGATGAGATCCTCTTCGATACCATGGTACATAAGTATTCCATTCTAACGTTGGGGGGCACCGGTTACAGAGCACACCCCAGCTAATCCGAAAAGACACTGGGTTTATCAAATTTGACCAGATAATTTACCTTCCTTATCAATTATCGTTTCACGTGCAACTTTTTACCCACTAGATATACAGAGAACCGTTCAACTGCCCAAACGAGTGCAGGAGCTTCTTTTTCGGTATTGCAGTACCTTTTTTCAGTTAACGTTAATCTTTTGCTAGCGTAGCAGATAATGCGGGGATCAGGATAATCCCTAGTATCTCCAAACTGTGCTAATACAGCTCCAAGCCCTACAGGCGATGCATCTTCGATCACTCAAGTGCAAAGGGAATTGTCAAAATACTTCAATGTATTTATACCAGATACCGTTTCTTTTAGCGTCCTCGTGTTCCGATTGCCACTTGAGAAGAACTCCTCCATTACTCAGTTCTCTTAACTATTTACAAACTGTAGCAAGATCCGAAAAGAATCTGCCTACGTATGTTACAAGCCCCAAAAAACTTCTTAACTCCTCCAGCAACTGGGCTTGAAACTTTAATTGACAGTATGGAGCATGATGCAGAATTGTTAGTGCTCTTCTTAAATCATCCAGATTCAATTTAAATGTAATAAATTTTACTTCTAAAAGTATTGCTTTAGGAACCTCTATTTTACCGGAACATTCATTTATCACGTGCTTACATTAGCTCAATGCTTGATTACTCAAAGGGATCACATATTTATTGGCTTAATGTTCATCGTACACTCATTTAACGGTTGACTTAAATTTGTTAATTAGGTATTGGAGTGGTTTCTGGCGATATTAAATCTAAATAGATTAAAAGTTACACTAAATTGCAACTCTTCTGACCGATAATATGAACTTTGTATAAACAAATTTACGTGTTCTCGTCAATTTAAGCAGTGTCAGCACTTCTATTAGCATTTTATCAGCGTCACGCTCACATATGACGTGTTTGTTTGTTTACATTTATCTACTACTTGCTTATCTATCCATTCCAATCGACATAATTGTTTTGAAAACTGCTTGAAAGCGATTTTACAACGCTTCAAACTGCTCAGGTGAGTGTGACTATTGCCTTTATCTTCGGCCTAATTTTCATAATAAACGAAAAAAATGTTTTATCTGCGAAGCCCATTCTTACAAAATTAGATAAAGTGAATTATCGAAAAAAAAAATTCAGTATACATTTTATCTTTTTTCTTGAACACTTCAGTATTTTCTAGGGAACATTTCATAACTTTTTAAGAGATTTTTGGATTTGTGTAATATCCTCTTATTGTAAAGAGAATATTTTTAAATCTACTGGTGCAATTTTACTTCTTTATCATGCCTCCACACTTTTTTACCGAGCATTTCAGCTTAAGCATTGGAACATCTGCTTGTTTTTCAAAGAGTAGTTTATGAAATTTTATTGAACATAATTATTAAAACATGAGCATAATCTAATTTTTCCATTCAATGTCTCCACCGAAATCGTGTGGAACCTCCTCCGCCAAAAACGTCAGCAAATTTCGTCAAAATCCACTAAAAATTATCGATGCGATCATGTGGAACATGAACCTCCCCCGCTAAAAATCACTGGAACTTTCGATGACAGCATGTACTCGAGCATAAACAATCTGCAGCGGAATTGTGCGGAACCTCCTCCACCGAGAGCTTGAGAAAACGCCATCAAAGTCCAAAAGATCTTTCGTTGGCTTCATCTAACATCTTCACCAAAATCGTGTAGAGCCGTATCCGTCGAAAACTTGAGAAAAATCCGTCACAATCCACTGGAACATTCGTAGACAGCACCTGAAATCACCACCAAAACTTCGTGGAACCTCTTCCAACGAGACCTTCAGCAATATTCGTCGAAATCCGCTGGAATTTTGATTGGCAGCATCAGAAATCTACACCGGAATCAAGTGAAACTTCCTTCGTCGATAACGTTAGAAAAAAAACTACAAGGGACAGCCCTATCGGGACGTAGGACTACGTAGTCTTATATAATAAATGTTATTTTTTAAGCTGCAGCAGGAGCTTGTGTTTTGTGTAGAAATATTGATTTGAGCGGGGTTGTCTCTGTTTATACTCTTTAGTATGACTATGATTGCCCTGAAAAGAACCTTTTGATATGAATTTTAGTTGGGACATGTTCAGAAATCTAACTCTTTTGGATCTTGGTGGCCCTGAAAAGGGCCGATGGTAGTATAGGCTTAAAACCTTTGGAAGATGATGATGACGTGTAGGCAGCTGGATCAGCAAATCGAACCGGAGAATCCCATATTCTTCGGTTCAATGATTGGGCACTCGCAAGAGTCTCGGCTCGTCTACTGCTAGACAGAGATTGTACTGGTGTCTGCGACAGGTTGGAAGGCCGCAGAGTATCAGTGTCCACCAACCTAAAGCTCCGTCCCTTTTTAGTTTTTCTCGTTAAACTCCTTCTCTCGACAAGTTGGTAAATCTTAGCTTTTAGCAGAAAGACGCTTTTTCGGCAAATTTATGATCCTGTTTCACGTCATGAATCTTCTCTATGCCTGTTCAGATAAATTAATACTTTTATTTATTTTCTCTACTGCGCTAGAGTAGAAGTAAAAAGGAATGTCGGTTACGAATAATTGAAAATTCGACAAATATTTGACCGAATAGCTGCAAAAATCTTCACAAATAATCGTTAATCGAATAATTGGACTTTTAGGTATCCCTATAAAATAGTGTAATTTCATGTATTTT